GTGGCTCAGTTGCTTAAACGTCCAACCCTTGATTTTGTCTCAGATCATGTTCTCAGGGTGGTGAGATGGAGCCCCAAGTCAGGCTCCATGATGACTGTAGAGCCTGCTTAAGATTCCCTCTCCCTCTCCCGCTGCCCCTCCCCTGCACTCTCCCTCTCTCTCACAAATAAATAAGTTTCCTTTTATAAATAAATAAATAAATAAATAAATAAATAAATAAATAAATAAACTGATCTTCCTACATAGTCAGTTATTTACCGATGTTCTCTCCCATTGCATTTGTTTCACACCTGCAACAATATTTATTTGTATGAGTCATTTATTTATATATCTGTCCTTCTTTCTCATTTCTCTACTAGTCTGTGAGTCTTGGAGTGTAGTGTCTAAAACCTATTTAACTTGTTTTTTTCAGTCTCAATACAACGTCAATACATAATAAATGTGGTGAAGTAAATTTTTCTTCACAACATTAATTGATCCCCTGTGTGGGAAAAATCATATGCACCTGTCCCATTTAGGTTAGGCTTGGCCAAAGACTATACTTTCAGGGATCATTTCTATAGTTTGTTACTAGGTTAGGCTTGGCCATATGACTTGCTTTCATCAATGAAATGTGAACAGAAGTGACCTGTGCCACTTCTGAGTAGACTACTTAAGAACAATTGCATGTTTTTTCCTTCTGCAACACTGGCCATGTCCCAGAAGGAAACTGTTCTTTCAGACTGTGTCTCAGAATGAAGGCAACATGAAGCAGAGTTATAGACCATCTTCAATGAATCTAAAGGCTGAGCAAGAAATAAACTTCTGTACTAAACCACTGGGACATTGGAACTGTTTATTGCCACAAAATAATTTAGTCTAAGATAGGTAGATATTTAATAAATGTTGATGAAAATAAGCAAAGCTATAGAGATATGGAAGATGAATTATAGCTAGAGAATTCCAGAGTCAATTTTGTTAAACAACAATCTTCTGTTGAAAACAGATAAAAATTAAATTTCCATGAATTGCTAATTAGGAGAAATAGTGGAAATTGAGGGCTGAGAGGAGAAAGGAGGATATGTAGATAATAGAGTAGGAATATATATTTTGGTAATGCAATTTGGAAAGAAAATGAAAATAAATTCTTGCAGGATGAGCATGTCCTTAAGATGTCTTCAGGGAGAATTTAAAGAATCTAAGGTATCTACTAAGGAGGTGTTTTTAGATTGGGTACATATTAAAGATTCCTCCTTTAGTTAAGCCAAGTAAGCTAAAAATGTTTATCCTATTTTAAATGTCCAACTCACTCAGTTTCTATAGTCAAAGAAAAGCTGGAGCCCTGATTAATATAACACTCCAATTAAGAATATTATATGTACACTTAATTCTTGTTATTCACAGTAGTTATGTTCCATAAACATGCACCAAACACTGAATTAGTGAATAGTGACCACTGTCCCCAGGGGAAGTACAGGTTTAAATTGCTGGGGGCCTCTACTCACAACATTTCCATCAAGTAGGCAATACATAACCTTGATTTATGCATGTTCCTGTCTAAAAACACATTATTTAATATATATTTTTGATTCATTAATATTGAACTCACAACGAATAGCACTTTACTCATGCATGAATGCAGCTGATTTTAAAAATGCATTTTCTATGTAGAGGATATCACAGCCTTCTTGCACTTGGGAACTCTAGGCAACACATCAGCACTATGCTAGGGGGTTATTTTAAACAGTGAAATCAACAACAAAAAAACCTACAAAAATACAAAAACCCTGATACTAAATAGATCATGAAAAGAACACTTTTTTATAATATGAAAGCTAAAACAAGAAAGCAGAGGAGCATGTTGTTCAGTCTCAGCTGGGAATGTGCACATCAAGAGACTCAAAACTTTTCCCACTCTGTGCATGTGTGAAAGTGACCACAAAACTGCCATGAGTATTGATTTGGGGATTGCAAATAAATTTTAGCAAGTAGATGAATTTGCACATACAGAATCTGCAAATAATGAGGATTAACTGTATATCAGGGAATCAGAAGGAAAATAATGAAATGAATTATGGGGAGATGGGTAAAATGCCCACCAGTGAGAAGGGAAATTAGATAAATGATGGTTGGATGGATGAATGGATGGACATGATAGATGATGATAGATAGATAGATACTAAATCTAGAGAGATGTTTTAAAAATGGTGTATTTTTAGTTTCTTTGCTTATCTTCCTCCCCACTCTTTATTCCTTATTTGGTAGAATAGATGTTACCCAAAAGTATTTAGGTAGTACTTGACAGTCTAATCTATCAATGTAATGTAAAGCATTAGATCATAGAAAAGTAAGCACAAGTTTTTCTTGGCATTTCATTTTGCTTTTGGATTTATTATTTCTTACTTAGAGATACCCTATCATCTTAACACAAATCTTAAAAGCACATTTTTATGAAAATGTTAATATTTAATAACCTAAAGTCAACATGACACCATCTAACTTAGCCAGCATGGAATGAAGTTTCTTGAAACTTACATAGCAGACATTCCTCAGTAAGTTTAAATAGAATAACCCTGTTTTTTCAAATAGATATTGGAATTTTCTGTTTGCATACAAACTCCATTATGATTTTTTACTTTGCTGTTGAATGGAAACATCTGGAACAAAACTGTTTTAAATTCACAACTCTAACTTACAGACAACTAATAAAACATCTTTTGCCAGATTCTTAACTATGGAGAAGAGATTTGTACCTGGAAAAAATAAAGCTAAAAAACATGATGAGAATTGAGTCAATTAACACACTCTGGCCTGGATACTTTTTTTATGGAAATATTTCCTCCAAAAAAGTTTATCAAGACAAGCTTTTTACAATCCTCATTAAATTCAGTGAATGAATTGTGAAGGGTAAATTGGAACCATTATAATCTTACATTTCTTATGTAATATTCATAATCATAGTGTTACATAAGAGCGAGCTAGCATTAACAAAAGGAGCAATTTAAATTCCCACTTCTTGGAGAATGGGGCTCTGCTTGACAAACAGCCTTTCCTGCTCCGTTTGCAGCACGCCCCTGCATCTCCTCCAGCGCCAATGAGACCCACACTCTCATACCAGTGATATAATAAACCCTCCACAACAGAGGGAGAAAATGAGGCAAACAAGCCCACAGCATTTCAACTTGTCAGCTTTAAATACAATCTTCTGCAGCTGAAAATGAGAAATTTGAGGGAAGAGAATGTGTGAAGTAACCAAATTCAACACTGGGACAAAACATATTGCATGACTTATTGGTGTTTTTTTCCTGATCTGCCACAAAAGTTTTGAAATTTCACCATAATTTTTAACGAAATCTCTTTTGTCAGCGACGACTTAGAAGAAATGGTTCATTTTGTTTGTTTATTTTTTTCTCCTCTTTTACCCATTGATGCCTTAGGAAACATCTCAAGTTATGGCAAGCCCCTATGATATCTTAATGAGTAATCCGTGACCTTTGGAAAAACTCTCATTATCAGTTTTTAAGTCAGAGTTGCCATAGCAGAGCATGCTAGAAAAAAAGTACATGTTTTTTATACTTATTTTAATTAATTACTTATATAATACCTTCCCCAGCACTGATTTTATATGCAAAATATTGGAGCATGCTCTCCACCTACAAAAAAAGTTAAAAAGACAAAAATGCGTTTGAAGGAAGATAAAGGGAAATTTACATTCTGATAAATATATCTAATATGGATGAAATAAACAATGATTGTGAATGTAAATCCTTTCCCTCCCCCTTTCCGCAGTGCCTGCCCTCACAACCTCACCCACCCCCCCACCACCCCCTCCTGCCCCTTACCTCCAAACACTTCCTGCTTTGCTTTCAGGAGGCTCCATTCTGTTTTTCCACTCAGCTCTCTCCAAACCCCTTCTCTTCCCTCTTTGTTACTTTTTCTCAGTGTTAAAATGCCCCTTGACTTTCTTTATCGTTCCTGAAAAAGCACTTGCCTGTCTTCAAAGGAAGGACAGACCCACTGGGTCCCAGCAGATACTTAGCACAAGTTGTGCATCTTCCAATGGGAGAGAGGATGGAAAAGTCAGTATCTTTTGTCTGAATGCCTCAAGGTGTGCCCAAATTTGATATAAACATATTTTTATATCTTTTATTTCCGATGTTGTGTCTCACATATTTTCCAAATAAGCTTAGAATACTTTCCCCTTATTCTTTTATACTCTTATACCATTGTAACACAAACTCTCTGATTTCAAACTCTTTTATTTTAAAATTCCTAGGTTACTTTGAGTGGTTAGTACATAGAATGATAGTAATATTGAAGTGTATGATCCCTGTCACCATCCTTGATGGCTCATTGTTAAGAAGTTTTTTAATCTGTCCAATGTAAAACAGGATTTCATATGTGCATTTTAAATGTATTAAAGAAGTACCATGTGACAGGAAAGAGTATTTGGATTGTGGATTATGGTACACCATTTGAAGTGTTGAAGAATCTATATTTAACAGTATGACCATAATCAGTTTTTTTAACCTCCTTATGATTTACTTGTAAAATGTGAAAAAAAATGAATATCATGTCATAGGATGTTAAATTAATATTAGGTGGGTTTTAGAAATATTTTCATTTTTACTTTATGATCATTATAATAATTATTATAGAATGGATTTAAAGTTAACTTGACCTAGCTATCCAGTAAGTAGTATGAATGGTGATATCATGCAATTTCCATGCATATACTGGTTTTACAACCAGTAAAATTCTGCCAAAAGCATTAGGTTATTCTCCACAGTTTGAGGTTAGTAAGACTGGTGCCTTCTAGCCCTCTTAGGCCCAAAGTTCCCATGGTGTTTCATACTCTTTATTCCAAGCTTCTTTTTCAGTAATCATGTAGGTATAATGTATACCCTGGTGTGGCCTGAAGAGCCATTTAATGACTGAACTTTTCAAAAAGAAAGCAAATATGGAATCATATCCTTAGAAAGTATTTGTTCTGAGCTGAGCTGGTTTTTGTTTCCCCACAGTGATGGCTGGGCGGACAGGTATGATGTGACAGATGGATATCAGCGAGAAGCTGTTGGTGGAATCACAATCAAGCTCCAATCTCCCGATGTCAAGTGGTTTGATGATTATTATCTGAAGCTCCGGCCAGAAACAAACCTTCGAAACCCTTGGTTTCAAGAATTTTGGCAGCATCGTTTTCAGTGCCGGCTGGAAGGGTTTGCACAGGAGAACAGCAAATACAACAAAACTTGCAATAGTAAGCAGATTTATTGTTTCATTTAGAGTGGATAAGGCTAAGGCTCCAATTTAAGTAAAGTGTGTCGGGGGATAGTGGCTGTAATCTGTTAGAGAAGAGGACTCTTACAGAAACAGGGTGGGTATTGCTACTTACAGTGATAAACGGACTTTATTCTCACTAAGAAAAACATATCAGAGCAAATGTTTGCTCCACGGAGATTTCCAACAATTTTATTATTTATATCATTCAAGAAATTGGCACTGTGCTAAGAGGATAACGTGAGCCTCAGAGAGGAAATGCTGTTGCCACCCTTGAAGGCAAGATCTACATTCTGCTCATTTTGATTGTCTTGAGCAGTTAGTACAGCGTCAAACACTTGGTAAGGGTTTCATATATTCTGAAGAATGAATCAGTGAATATTGAAGGACAGAGCCAATTCCCAGCAGGGCTTTGTTGTGTATAGTTATGTTTCAGGAGACACAATCTGAGCAGAGCCATGCATTCTTATATATGTATAAGGGCTCACATTGTCCCAACTGTTGGCTTTGGTTGTAAGGGTACCAAGGTGAGGAAAACTAGTTACTGCTCTCAAGAGGTTTAGTGTCTGGAAGGGAGATAGTCATGCCAGCCAATGTTGCAATCCAGTGTTGTAAGTGGTATTATAAGAGTTAAACACAGGGTCTTGGCACTCTTATTTATAAGTTGCACATTGAAAGGGAATCTCGACTCTAATAACCGAGGTAGGGCCAATGTTGATCTATATGTCAAATTTTCTAAAAATTAGGTTTGTTAAAATTGATAAGGGATTTGTTGAGACTGCCTTATCCCCACATGGTGTAACAAGAACCCCATATACATTTGCATGGGAATAAAATAGTTTGAGTTAGTGGTAGAGGTATCTTTTATCCACAAGGCTGGAACACAACAGTGCACTGGGGCAGTGGGTTTGAAATCCTGGCCCACAAACCAATTCCAGTTCACAGAGAAGTTGTCCCATACCAGCACAAAAATGAGAATAATGGGAATGATATAGAGAATTTTTCATAATGCACTTTCCCTCCCAGTTCATGTCCATCCTATGTTTTTTGTCTCCATCCTATGTTTTTTGGTATTAGTTCATTCTTTTGTGAAATGAAGAAAGGAGTAAATGGCAATTTGTGATTGTTTTTAAATGTCAGTTCTTGCTAAAATAAGAACTTGGCAACCTTATGTCAGTTCCTATTAGGGCAGTGAGGGAGGGGAGGGATGCTGGAGTGTGGGATTTTGTACTGGTCACTGAAATCCAGAAATCACAGAAGGCTCATGGTGTGAGCCTGTGTTTGTTTCTCTCTCACTTCAGATACTTCTTGTCCAAAATTTTCAAATGCTTGTTCATTTCCTTTGTTTTTATTTTTATTTTCAGGAAAAAGAAATGTGTGAGAATACATAGCATTGTGACTTCTGTTATACAATTTCAATTTTTATAGATAATTTCATATTTTTTCACCATTCTATCCAGTTTCTGATGGCCACAGACTTATTTCCTCTCTTGAGATGTGAGAAACTCTTTCTCTCTGGGTTCCAATTCTATGATTGTGTACAGATTACTATATGTAGCTACATTCAAGGAGTTATAAAGAGTAAACAATAGATCTGATCTCTTCTTCAGTCTCTTTTACCAAGGTGCTAGTGACTGTCCATAACAGTCTGGCTAAGGGAATTTTTCCAGTTGATCTTCATCCTCTTTTGTACCAATGCTCTTTTCCTATGCCTTTTTGTCTGAAATGTTTTCTCCTTGAAATAGTTCTTTGTTTCTCTACTGTTAGAGACCTTATTTAGATACAGTCTTGAAAAACTCTTTAATTGATTTCCATGGAATATTATTTCTATGGAAATTGTTCTGTAAAAGCCTCCCTTTCAACCTATTGCTGTAGCTCTCTTTCACATAACTTTCCTGATATAATTTCTCTGCTCAGAATTGGTTCCTTACTCTAGTATTAGAAAGCACTCTTCAGCTACTCCGCCACCACTGGAATCTTATCTGACAACGATGTCATTTTGTACATAAACATGGACACTTATGTGAAGTACCTCTGTTATTCTTCTCAATAAGGGAAGCACTATGATTATCCTTATTTAAAAATAACAAAATCAAGATTTAGAGAGAAAAAATAACTTGCTCAAGGTCACCTAACTATTAAACACTGGAACTTATACTTGGACTCAGGTTTGTCTAAAGTTTAACCAATATGATATACTAAAGAGTTAGAATATGATAGTTTTCTAAAAAGTGCCATCAAATTTGCATTATATAATAGTTAATAAAAAGGCCAAAGATACAAAAAAGAAAAATCTTAAAATTATTTGTATATGACTATGGAATGCAGTAATGGATACCCAAATGTTCACTACTCTCTACTTTTGACCATATTTCCTTATTTATTCAAATGTCCTTTTTGTATCTTAGTCCCCATCTTCAATTTTAGTATATGTGCTGCCAAAGCGAGCACTATCTTAATCCCCATCTTCAAAGAGGCCCCAGTAGGTTACTTGTATTTATAGCACTACTGAATTTACCAGTGTTTTCCTAAATATAATGCACTTAAGCCCTTTCATCAGGCAGTGTGCATAAGACAACCATTTTTGAGTTGGAGTGTTAAGAAGTATTAAGAGTTTAACATAACATAATAAAAAAAAAAAGTATTAAGAGTTTGTAATTCATGCCAGGCAAGATGTTTTACGTTACTCACTGTCTACAGTACATTAAATCAAACAGAGAGTTCAAAAGAAAAATGGCTTGACCCAAAGAATAGAAATATTCATAGCTGAATTACTGCTTATTTTTCTTAGGAGATTCTTGGGAGGCAAAGTATAAAAGTTAGGAGAGGTATCTAAATCTAGTAGTCCAGAATTAGCAGCAGCTTTATAGAGAATATGTCCCATTCATATGAATTCTTCAATGCCTGTTAGCTTTGCCTATTCTCTTAGATAATATAAATAGAATCTTACATTATTTGGTTTTTTGTGTCTGGCCTTTTCCCCTCAAAGTAATGTGGTAGAGCTTATCCCATCATTGTATATTAGTAGTTTATTGTTTTTTATTGCTGCTATGTCATGTCCCTTTGTATGGATTTACTACCAGAATTTACCTATCAGTTCTCCTATAGATGGACATTTGGATTATTTACAGTTTTAGGTATTAGAAATAAAGATTTTATTAATAAGTGTGTACATATTTTCTGGAAGACCTATATCCTAATTATTGTTAGATGTATACCTAGTAATGGAATTGCTACATCAGAGGCTCTGCATATGTTTAGCTTTAGTAGATAGTGCCAAGAAGTTTTCCAAAATGATTGGACTAATTTCTACTTTCCCTGAAATGTATGAGAGTTCAAATTGCCGTGCACTCTTGTCAACACTTGTTTCTTTTTTTTTAAACATTCTGTAAGTGTGTGTTTGTATCGTATTATGATTTTGATTGGCTTTCCATTATCTATTACCAAGTTAAGTTCCTTCTATATTGGAAATTTGGGCATCTTATTTTGTAAAGTGTCTGTTCAAGTCTTTTGCACATTTCTTTGAGTTGATAATCTTTTAACATCTATTTTAAGACTTCCTTATATAATGTGGATATATGTATCATGAAAATTGCCCAGTTAGACCATGGCTTATTTCTAGTTTCTATTTCTCTCATTAGTTATTTGTTTTCTATTTGTCCACTTGTTCTTCAACTCTTTATTTCTCTTTTACTGCCTTCTTGTGGATTCATCAATAATTTTTATTATCTTATTCTATCACCTCTCTTAATATTTTTGTTTCATCTTAGTATAATTCATTTAGTTTTCAATAGAACTACTAAATGAATCTTTAAGTTGGTTCTTGCTTATATTCAAAAATCTTGCAAATATTTATATCTGTTTATCCCACACACACTATTTTTTGCTATTGCCATATAATTTATTTCTATATGTATTATGTACCCCACAGGCTTTCCTAGGATTTTTGCTGTAAATGGTCAACAATCATATTTACCCACTTTAGCGTTCTTCATTCCTTCTTGTACTTCTTTGCTTTCACCAGTGATATTTTTCAGCCTCAAGAATTTCTTTTAGTATTTCTTGTAATATAGGTCTACTGCCAACAAATTTTATCAGCTTTTCTTCATAAGAATATATTTCACATTTATTTTTGAAAAAATGTATTTGCCAAGTATAGCTTTCTGTATTGCTGGGTCTTCTTCAGTTTATTTAATTTTTCTTTGAAAACAGCATTCCATTTTGTTTTCTGTATTCCATTATTTCATTGAGAATTTAGCCACCATTCTTAATGTTGTACCCTTGATACAAATGCGTCTTTTTTTCTAGGCTTTTAAGATTTTTTTTAAGTTCTTAGTTGATCATGATGAGATTAGGTGTGATTTCCCTTATATATTTCATCCTTTGGGCTTCCAGAACTTCTTAAACCTCTGGAAGAAAGACCTGTATCAGTTTTGAAAATTTCCCAGACATTATTCCCTGAAACATTCCTTCTGCCACATTTTTCTCCCTCTCTGCTCCTTCTTGTGCTCAAATACACCTATTAGATTATTTGTCTGTGTCATACAGGTGACTTTTTCTCTGGGCTTTCTTCTCTTTTTCCTCTCTGTGCTTCAATTTGGTTCTTTTCTATTATTCTGTCTTTGATTATACCAATCATATCCCCACCTATGTCCAGTCAGCTGTTAAACAAAATAAGTTTTTAATTTCAGATATGGTGTTTTACAGTCCCGGAATGCTCATTTTCTTTCTTTTTATAGTCTTCAACTTTCTGTTGAAATATTCTTTCTCATCCACTTTTTTCAATCATTTATCCTATTTCCTTGAACAGATTGATTATAGCTATTTTACGGTCCCTTTTTTCTAATTCTAACATCTGGATCTTCTCTCAGTCTTCTATTGACTTATTTTTCACATTGATTACATTTTGTGCTTCTTGACACATCTACCATGTTTTCTTTTGTGCTAGACATTGAGTATAAAATACCATACAGATTGAAT